TTCTGGTCTTGGTGTTTCAGAAAATTATCTGCTGAAACTGCTTTTTTGGATTTCGTGAGCTTTTCCCATCAATTTTCCCGACAATAGGACGAGCTAGGTGGTGTTCGTGTCTGAACTGAAGCTACTGACGCTGATGATACTTACAAAAAAGAGTTCGCCCTCTACCTCGTAACAGGGCCTAAAATGAAAGTACGTCGTCCCAGCTTACGTCCATTTTATGCAGACTCCTCATATTTTATACAGCTTTTCAGACTAATTCTTTTCAATTTTCTTCTGATAATTAAAAGGGACAGCAAAGGTGATAGTTCATACTTCAGCTGAACCTACCCGCTCTACTTATGGCTCTCCACCGCTATAAGGACTTCAAATAAATTTTATAATTTTCTCATCTCCTTGACTAAGACCCTGAAACTTCTCAAATTTTGTTGGAACTTGCTTGAGAACCCATTCCAGGCTTTTCGAGTGCTTGGCGAGTTTGAGTGATGGCTTATAAAACTCAATTTCTGCTATGCTCTCTATCTCTGAGCGACATTAGCTACCTTCTGACGACAGGCGTGTCCCGCTCATCACACATCAATCATATCTCTTAGAAATCTGCGAAGTATCTAATTATAAGTGTCGGAACATATGACTCTCACCCACATCGGAGAACGTCACTACTCACTAACCACTGATTTCGACCGGCTTTAGATTTCCCGGGCGACTTTAGCACTTCATAACTTTCAAGTAGTCCATTAGCAGGTTCCAGATGTTTCGATTTTAATAAGGACATTACATTCGCTTGTTTGCTTTGTTATTTTTCTTAGTGAACGCTTCCCCTCTGTCCTATTCGTTTACACACTTACATACATTTCACATCTGGATTTGCCCATTCGTAAATCTCCCTTCTCGAATAACCACCATTCCATTTCCTCTGACGAATCGATCAGCCGACTTTTTACCTCCCCAACTTGCACTCATGACAACTGATAATTCCCCAGACACTCTTTTCAAGCATAATTTCCGGACAGACTGCTTTTCCGTCAGTCTTAGCGTCGGTGACTGGTCTATCACGATGAACACCGCTGCCGTTAGAATTGCCCATCTGTCATGAAGTGTTTCACCAGCGCCTGCTCACAGAACAGGTCCACAATTAGGCGAACACAGCTGATTGATCATCTCATTTCAAGTACTATCATCAAAAATGGACCAGTGATCATTGGTGCCACTCATATAGATGCTCTTTTGGAGATTGGGAAATATTTTGAAGGTAGTGGGCATAATAAAGAGGTTGTGCAAAAATGCCAGACCCACGTGCCACGAAATGTTGTAGGGAGAATGACATACGGTATCATCGTGACCAAGGATTCTTCAGAGGGGGTATAGAAAAAGGCTGGTTGGGAAGTGGGTCTGCCACCTGACAGTCCCGCCCACCTTCGAACGAGATATGATAAAACGGCAATGGCAATGGAACTGCTGCTAACAGGAGTAAACTAGTAATACTGTTAATTTGACATGATATTAACAAGAGCGAACTTGTCAAGCTGTCCAGATCCCACCGTTTTCTCGTACATCTCTCGAATCGATAGAAAAGATGTAATCCTCATTTTGTTGGTTTTGGACGAGTTTTATTTCGGATTCCTTTTTACTCATGAATTTTCAAACTTTTCACTTATATTCGTCACTGAATCAGATTAATTTTTCGAGCCTACTATTTGAAGCTGAAATCGGATGGACGAATTCTCTTCCAATTTACTGCTTGTTTTACATAACTTCCGAAGAACCCCTTCCGAAAATGACCGAAACTTTCTACATTTATATCATTTTCAATTCCACTTACTCCTATTCCTCGAGGGGTTTCTCTCGCACGTCCTATTACTCAAGAGGAGAATGATGAGATCAGTTTTCCCCAGACAGATGGGGGAACTTCCCTCACTTCACTCTATTGCCTTTGCATTTTGTCACGTTCCGAAGCATGAGTTCTCGCTCGCTGTCTTGCCCACTACGATTCACATCAATTATTTCAGATCCATTTCGTCCCTCGAAATTTCCGAAGGATTACTTTCTTCTTCACTCTAATCCTCCCTTCATTCGTCTCGCAATTTGTCAAGACTGAAAAATCTTCTCCCAAAGCGACCCTAGGCTTCCGTCGCTTTGAAAAAAGTTTTCCGAAGCTGCTACCACTATTTTTCTGAAAGGAGTCCCTATGGAACGGACAAAGTGCTCAGCTTCCATACAGAATTGTAGGGGCATTTAGTTGAGCGCCTGGACGTAGTGGCTAGGTGGACCTTCCTTCTCCCATATGAGTTGGAGTACCAGATGGTCGATTGGCGTCGATGAATCGATGTGTAGTTGAATGTGGATGAAATTCGATCTTCAGGCTCTCAGGTCAAGATATAAGGAAACGATAATGAATAAGTGTAAAGTGACCTTCCTAGCGAATTAAATAGCACAGCCGTTCCCTAATTTGTTTCGTATTCTGAACCATTTATCATGAACATTTTTTTCCTTGCTGGGTGGCCCCTTTTCTTTGTGGGTAGCCTCTTCAAAAATTTTCCTTGTCAGGTCTTTTTTTGCCAAACTTTGCAAAACCTTTATGCCCTTGGATCCTTTTTTCTACTATGCACTTTGTCCCATGCGCTCTTTGGGATATTGAGCCCATCCGAATAAAAACGATGCTGCTTTGCAAACGGCAGGGGCATTCAGTTTCACTTAGTGAACCATGGGCTGCTGCAGTTAATGCAGGAAGAGGAAGCCCGCGGATGAAATACGACCCTCGAGCAACACCTCGCCCACTACTGCTGCTTCTGCTTTTGTTTTCAGCTTCCATCCATGCGGTTGTTCAGCTAGAGCATTCGCTATATCCCATTTTTGGAAATATTCCCAAAATGATAGTCATGAATTCCAGGGAACGTCCTCAACGGTGGGGTGAAGGGATCTGAGGAAACATGAAATTCTCCATCAAAATTTCCCTTGTTTGGCAGGTGTCAAATTTCCTCGATTCCAAAAATCCATAATTTACGAATTCCTGGTTTTTGCGAGCCTCCACATACGAACATTCCTCCAAAGTCCTATCCAACACACGATGTAGTGTTCCTGAGATGTGAAAAAACTCCTGATTGAATTTTTTCACGATGCTTACACAGCTGAAAACAGCAGACGGCACCATATGACCGCGCCGGCGCCCGTTTGGTTCCGTGGCCACGACGATCCGGCTCCTGTTTCACTTAATTCATGAGACTGGCCAACACCCGAAACGTGAGCCATCGATGGCTGCTGGGCAGCCACTGATTTAGAGCTTCTAATGGGCTTCGAATTCGATTCACCCAGCTCTCTCGTCCGTTCCATCGATCCGCCTGTGTAGTCTGGGCGGTTCGAATTTCCGCTTTGTCTCTGCACTATACACACCAGTCAGCAGCACTCATCAGTCATTATACGTTTTCTTTCCGTACTTTTTGAAAAATTCAAGGTTCGGAGGACCGTTTCTCATTTGTTTGTTGAGGATTCGAACCAATTACCCATAATTCGTTAATTATTCCTGAACAATCGCGTAGGGCTCTCGATTTGTCAACGATGCGTCCTCTTATTCGTTTAGTCAACCGTCTATGCATAATTCATTCACGGTACCATCCGCTCCATGCTACGTTGATCCTTCACATGGACGCATATTAGATGCGACATTACAGATGATGAGCTCTGACTGATGGAAGAGGATCATTACGATACTCCGTGGGAGTTCCTTGCAAGACCCACATCGGTCAGGCTATCTAATGCCGAGACCGTATTTGCCAAACGTCCATCTCGTTCATCAGATTCGCCACAAGGTAAGTTCAGTTGTTCTCCATTGTTAGCTTCTGATGGCTATTATTCGACTGCCCAATGACCTTGCCACTGAGATTGTTTAGTGTGAGAGTTTTCGGACAGGTCTTTCTTCCAGTGTTCATTGCCCTCGCCAAGGCGAACCTCTATTAAAATCGATGACGGCATTATTAGCTAATTAGATGTCCCCTGTTCGCGTATGACCAAAGGTCCCAAGGTTCAAAGAGAGAAAGAGCGACTCAAGGATTTGGATTCGTTAGCTTTCAGTCCTGACCAAAACACATTCTGCTACAAATTCCCTGACAACTACGGTGGCAAACGGTCCCGGACACCAGTTTGCTTGTTGTTACCATCACAATCGTGTGGAACGGATGACTGACCTTTGTATAACATATACGTAGGCTGCCTTTCATATTTCGGGATTTGAGAACAGGGACAAATACTATTTAATGAAAATCGCTTTACTGCCTTTCAAAATTCTCCACATTAAGATCTATACACTTTTGTATGGGCTCGAACCAATTTTCGAAGCACTTTGCCACTTTGATGTGGGTAACTCTAAAACATGGATACTGAACGCATCAACGGCTTCTTGAGGTGTCGAAAAACACTGACCTCTCATTTATTTTTTTACGTACGGGATGAGAAGAAGTCACCCGGGGGCTACATGGCTGATGACCTGTCAAATCGTTGTTTTGAGTGCTCAAAAATGCAGTTGTTTGAGCCGATGTGTGGGAGCTCGCATTGTCGTGGCGTGGGATCCAACGCCAACAAATTTTTTACGGTCAAATGTTCATGCAAAAATGAATGTAAGCTAGTCCCACTAATGTTTAAGGTCGCCTCAATCTCACGATAGGTCGCATGACGATCATGCAGTATTAGTTTGTGCGCAGCATGAACCGTTTCCGGAACGACAACTGATTTTGGACGACCTCCACGAAATTCGTCTTCGAGTGAACTACGACCCCGGGTGAACTCGCTGTACCATCGATAAACACTGATCCTTGATGGAGCTTCATCCCCAAAAATTGAACCAAGTCCATCCATGCATTGCTGTTGAGTTAGACCACGTCGAAAGTTGTCGCGCGAAAATGCCCACGGTTCAACTCCATAACTTGGCCGAAACAAAATCTTATAACTTAGTGTAAACAACACAAATCGCGCTCAAATTTTGCAACGGAACCTCAAAATAGTCAAACTTTACGATAGTGGTGTCAGTTGCTAGATTGCTGCACTAGTGTTTCCAAATCCCGAAATATAAAAGGCAGCCCTCGTATAAGCCAGCGGAGTGCTAGTTCAACATTTCTCATGCTTATGGATAGGTTAAAAGATGCAAGGAACTGTTTTGAGA